CATATTTTACTTCGCAAATGAAGCAATACGAGCATCAGGTACGGTCGTCCATTTGTGGGCGGGCGGGCGCGGTGGGCGTTGGGTCGGTATGTTGCAGCTTGATAGGGCCTTATAAGGGCACCTTCCTTGGAAAAGGCGCTACGCAGCGCCTGCTCAGGGGCGCGGAATTCCGTCCTGCCAGGCGTATCAATCCTACTCGTCTTAGGGATTATCGTGCCAACTGCCATTAAGGGCGACTTCGATGGTTTTGTGCAATCTTTTCTTGACTGTTAGTCCGACTAGCACCCACGCACCTACCAACTCATGTATGCTACTCAGAATGCGTTATCTGCAACTGCAGAATGTGTCTTTAATGTTTAATGGCTTCTAAAAATCGATGTCTCAAGCGATATTTTTGTGAATCCCCTCATAACGGGAACAAAAAACTGTTCGATCTTGCAAACCGCAGAAAGCGCTCTTCGGCCTGGTAGGGGGAAGGTGATATGGGCGAAGGTGAAGCGGGGTGTGAAGCTGGAGAGGGGTGAAGCAATTTGCGCTTACGCTGGTTCCCTTTGCCGGTTTTTAGGTTAATTAACAGCTCTCGTTTAGGTGAAACCTGTAAACTCTCGCGAAGCTGCGACATGGTCGGAGTGAGGCCTTTGGTCCCAGGAATCGACAGACTTTAACGAGATGCCTGTACAAGTACCATTCGTTCCCCCACCAGGCAAAAAAGCGCCGTGCAAAGTTTTGCTTAGTTTGCGTTCTTGCCCTTTGCAGCTCCTAGGGTCCAAACACGTTCATCTTCATCCAGTGAAGAGATAAGATGAGCAGAACCCCTGGGACACATTGAGAATTACATGACAGTTTTTCTTTTACCCATTCCAAAAGAAGATAAATGACAATGCCATCTAAAAGTAGAGAAATCACATCGTCCCTCATTTGCTGCAATCTATGACAATTTCGATTCGCGAATAAAAGAAATAGTCTTCGCCGTTGACCGACCCCTTTTTGGAACGCGTCCGCCACGCACATCCATTCAGAAATAGTGTTATTGAATGCTACATCACCTTTACAATGCGTGCCGGCCGAGCCGGTCAGAATTCTTATCCCTCCTAAACATATCTCTCGATATATAAACCAGAAGTTGTTTGTGTGTCTGTGCGTCTGTCTGACCGCCTGAAATCGGGGTTTCCAGATTCACCCTAAGGGACGATTGGCTTGGGATAGACGTGACATGGCAGTTTGCAGGGCAAACACAAGGTCACCGAAAAGCTCGCCAGAATGGGCGGCCTCGAAAAAGGGACAAAGCCGAGAAAAGCATCCAGAAGAGCCGGAAGAGCCCAGGAAATGGGGAATATGAGTGAGCAACGAGCGACGGGTAGGCAGATGAATTGAGAGAGAAAAAACGACTGGCCCTCCTCAGGGAAGTCCGCCAACTTACTACGGAATTTTGAATGATAGATCGATAGAGTCTATAAGGTTATTTACAAATATAGATAGCAAAACTGCAACCTGCATTTCACAAGCAACTTATGAGCAGGTAAAGTTTGTAATGGTGCAGTAGGGTGGAGGCTTGGTGGTGAGCTGTGAAGCATAAGCGAGGAATTCTGCGGTAAGGTTCGACGTTCGACGACTCGATTCGACGTATGCGATTCCTCGCTTATGCTTCACAGCTCACCACCAACCTTCCACCCTACTGCCATTACCTACTGTTCCTGCGAAGCCGGGCGATCCGACTGGCCCTCAATGGAAAAACTCCGGGACGATAACCCACTTCACACTCGGAAGGAGGATCGCTGTCGGAGCCGGACGATCCGATCTGTATACAATTTGCCGTACACAGGGGCTAGAAGGTTCGGTTGTCTGGACGGGGGCCGATCCCGGATTCGATCCCCAAAGCGCGTGCGTGGTAAGCGTGCCATTTGTCACTGACTATCCCTACCGTCAGAAGGAGAAAAACTAAAAAAAGGAACCTGAAAACTCCATGAATCTACTTATGGACTTTAGTTTTCAGTGAAGAATAGGAAGAATAAATTTCAGGAACATCAGCAAAATAGGAAGAGTTATTCGAAAAGACCTGATTACTGATATTAGTCGATAACAAATCGGATAACCTCAATGCAGATGATGATAGAGGCTTCTAATTAGGACACCCCGGAGCTATTCCTTCAATCTCTTTACATCCGTCGACGACAACATTTTGAACCCTAGACGAGAGCGCTGATAAACGTTCAGCCTCTTGGTGCGTGCGAGATAATCAAATTCTCCTTTTCTCAATCAGGCCGGCATATGTTCACCACAGCACGTTCGCCGCAAAAGTTGACTTTGAACGCATTGATCCGGAAAACTTTACTTGCATACGTGAAACCTCAAAGGGTGCAGAACTGAGCCACTAGCACCAAAGCGTATATGGGAAGTTCCAAAAAAGACGTAAAAACACAAGAACTACGCCTAAATATTGCAAAAACTTACCGTTGATGTATGGTTCTTCTTCGGTTTGATGACAACTGGCGGTGGAACTTGGTTCATCGCTGAAGTATGCACGGTTCTTGTGAGAAATGGAATGGTTTTCACACAGCTCACAGATTGATATGCAAACGACGCCGACAGGCCAGACAGCAAAAGTCGGCCCAGTGCAACACAACGTCCTGACATGCACCCAGCAGCAAATCCCTTCTACAAGTGTACGTTACTTAGCCAGATGCCATTCACGGCACTTTTTGGGACATGTTTAAGTACAGGGCAGGTCTCTATAACCTGATGGTACCAGTTACGGTATCCATTGTAGGCAGCTTATTCACAAGTTGATACGAATGTTTATTATAAAGTCGAAGGGGGTTCAGCAAGTAGGTTAGGCACTAAAATCTCATTGATATCATTAACAATATTGTTATTGACATGCATCAGGCACTACCATCAATTATCAAACGCTATCACCAGCTATCAAAAATGATCCTTGATCATCAAATATTATCATCGAAAACGAGTGCTATGTTGTAGTTAAACGTTCCGATTGCCGAGTAGTTTCGGAACAGCATAATACTGAGGCAGCGTTCTTACTTTGCGATCCACACTCTTGGATCGTGCGACTGATCACGAAGTATGAACGCGGGCTATTGTCCCGAAACCCGTCAGTGACCTGAACGTCCAATAAGAAAATGGCACTCAATTTTGATGATAATCTTTGATAACAGGTGACAGAGGGTGGTTATTGACGATATCGCTTAAAACCTTTCAATAACAGTCTTGATGACAGTATCAATGATATTTCGGAGTCTCAGTTTCGTTGC